AATGTAAAATGTCATATGCGTAGATTCTAAGGCAGCAGTAAAGAAGAAGTTGGAGGTCTGCCCTCCAATTTCTTCTTTACTGCTGCCGAAAACGACATCTAACGTAGAACTTAGAACTAAAAATAATCGATAATTGACGCGATCTCCTATCTTATCGACACTAATCGAGTTCGCCAGCGGCTTTAGCATCCCCTTAACGTGAACAAATGCAATCCTATGCGCGCGGGATATCATATAGACATGCCAGAAGTGGTGAAACGAAAGAAAGCAGTGATCTACGTACAATCCATGGACAATGCGTGTTTCGCGTGGTCAGTGGTCGCTGCTCTCTATCCAACTGAAAGACACGCGGAGCGCGAGTCGTCGTATCCGCATTACAGTGATGTGTTAAACCTGCGAGACGTCCCAATGCCGATAACATTAAGTGGTATTAAAAAGTTGAACAATTGAACAGTATTTCCATCAATGTATACAGCATCGATGAAAAGAACAATTGTGAACGCGTAATCGTACCGCTACGAGTCACTGATGAGAAGAACGAGAAGCACGTGAACCTATTATACCTGCAAGATCAGGGGGATGCTGAAGTGGGTCACTTCTTCTGGATAAAAAACTTATCCCGCCTCGTCAGTTTTCAACTCAGCAAGAAGGAGCACAAAAAGCACATTTGCGATCGGTTAGTATCAATAAAATTTATGAAAAATTGTTTTATTTGAAAAATATATATTAAAAACATGTTTTTCTTTCCAGATGCTTGCACTACTTTAGCTCCAACGTCAAGTTGCAAGCCCACAGCGTGGACTGTCAACAGATAAATAACTGCGCGATTGTATTACCCAGCGAGGAGGACAAGTGGCTCAGTTTTATCAATCACAGTAGGAAGGAACGAGTGTCGTTTGTCATCTACGCCGACTTGGAGTGTATCCTGAAAAAGATGGATACGGATCCGAAAGCATATCAGCACCATGAAGTATTTAGCATCGCTTATTACCTGCACTGCTCATATGACGACTCGCTATCAACATATCAGTTTCGTCGTGACAAGGATTGCATCGCATGGTTCGCCGACCAACTAGAAGAATTAGCATATCGTGTAAAGAATATTCTGTCGAGTAATGTTCCCATGCAAACACTTTCGAAAGAACAGTATGAGAAATTTAATAGCACCACGCACTGCCACATATGCGAGAAACCGTTCGCGCCAGACGACACTCGAGTGCGCGACCATTGCCATCTAACCGGACAATATAGAGGCCCCGCACATTCAAATTGTAACTTAAATTACAAAGATGCGTATTTCATTCCAATCGTTTTTCATAATTTATCCGGCTATGACGCACATTTCATAATTAAAGAAATCGCTACCGCGTTCGAGGGCACAATTGATGTATTACCGATAACGAAGGAGACATACATTTCCTTTACAAAAAATGTCAAAAGTACCATAGAAAACTCAAAGCGACAAAATTGCATAAAGCTGCGATTTATTGACTCATACAAATTTTTGAGTACCAGCCTCGATAGATTGGCATCGTTTCTCCATAGAGACAAATTAAAAATTGTACGATCTAAATTTTCAACATTATCCAGCGACGATTTCGATCTATTGACACGAAAAGGTATATTTCCCTATGAATATGTGGATTGCGTGGACAAGTTGCAGGACCCGTGTCTACCTCCGCGCGTCATTTTTTAGTTCTTTGACCGAAGTCACCGTATCCGAGAGCGATTACGTGCGCGCCGAGAATGTCTGGCAGCGGTTTTCCATCCAAACCTTAGGCGACTACAGCGATTTATATATGAAGATAGATGTCTTGTTATTGGCCGACATTTTTGAAAATTTTCGCGATAGTAGCATCAACAGTTATGGATTAGATCCCACGTATTATTATACTTTGCCTGGTTTCACGTGGGACGCCATGCTGAAACACACGCGCGTAAATTTCGAACTGCTCACAGACATTGACATGTTCATGTTTGTGGAACGCGGTATACGCGGTGGTTTGAGCCAGTGCTCGAACAGGTACGCTCGAGCCAATAACAAGTACATGCAGTCTTACGATCCATCCAAACCATGCTCGTACCTGATGTACTTTGATGTCAATAATTTGTATGGTTGGGCGATGTGTCAACCACTACCATATGCAAATTTTCGATGGATCGAAGATATTACGAATTTCGACGCGAGCACAATCGCTGCGGACTCAACGATAGGTTATATTCTTGAGGTCGATCTCGAGTATCCGCAGCATCTTCACGACACACACATTGACCTACCGTTCTGTCCAACGCGCGATAAGCCACCCGGCAAGCGGCAGGATAAACTTCTCGCGACAGTGTATGATAAGAAGCGTTACGTCATACACTATCGCAACCTGCAACAGTGCACGCGTCATGGGCTTCGCGTGACAAAGATACACCGTGTATTGGAGTTTTCGCAATCTCCATGGCTCCGCGATTACATCGAGCTTAATACTCAGTTTAGAACGCATGCGACAAATGATTTCGAAAAAAATTTATACAAATTAATGAACAACGCGGTATTTGGCAAAACAATGGAAAATGTACGGAATCATGTCGATGTTAAACTTCTAACAAAGTGGGATGGTCGTTACGGTGCGGAGGCAATGATCGCAAAACCAAATTTCCATAGCCGAAGCATCTTTTCGGAAAATCTGATAGCCGTTGAATTGCGCAAACTCGAGGTGAAATTCAACAAGCCGATCTACGTAGGTATGTGCATTCTCGACATATCTAAAATCTGTTTGTATGAATTTCATCACGAGTACATGTTACCTTTATATAGCAACAGATGTAAAATTATGTACACCGACACGGATAGCCTTATATACCACATCCAGTGCGAGGACGTGTACGAGACGATGAAACATGATATTCATAGATTGACACGAGCGATTATCCAACAGATAACGCGTACGATATTCCACTTGTTAATAAAAAAGTGCCAGGTTTAATGAAAGATGAGAATAATAGTGCGATAATGACAGAATTCGTAGGACTCAGAGCGAAGAGGTACGCGTTGAGGGTAGACGGCAAGAAAGATACAAAGAAGGCTAAAGGCGTAAAGAGTAACGTGG